GCCATAGCCATAGCCATAGCCATATCACAATATAGGCAAGATCTGGGTCACGGCCATAGTTCAAAGTCATGGTCTAGGTCAAAGTCAAGCTCCTGGTCATGGTAAGGGAAAGAGTCACAGTGACAGTGACCATAACAGCAATCATAATCGTAACGTGATCGTGCCATCTAATAGTACTAGTACTCTTGCTACGCACTTAGGTATAGTAACATAACCGCTGTAGTACACCACAATAGACCGAGACGCAGTATGACAAGACACTCTGTCGACTACAACAGCCCTTCAAACGAATTTGTAGCTAGGGTTCCACATTGAACCAAGAATTGTCCCAAGTCAGTGCCTACACTTAGGCCCTAACCCCTAAATCCTAAACCCTAAAGCATGTTACGGAAAACGCCCTTCAGGGTCTCCCGCACTGCTCCAAGTTGCCTTTCTTCGGAACCGAAGGAAGTCGAGCCTTTGTCTGGCTGTGGGTATTCAGATGGGGTTCCTACAGGCTTTCTTCAGGGGTTTAGGGGTTAGGGCCTGCCTAGGGCTTAGGGTTTAGGGTTTAGGGCTGTGAGTCTTCATCAGGGCTTTACATGAGGGTTTCCTACAGGCTGGTGTAGATTACTCAAGGTACTACTTCTAGTCTGTACTGAGGTCTTGCTACGCAACTCCCAGATCAAGCCCTAAACCCTAAACTCTAAACCAACAACCCTAAACCCTAAACTCTATTAGGGTCCCAGATCAAGCGCGTTTCTCTTTCAGATAGACTCATGTTCATGGACAGGTTGCAGCTCCTGGTACTCACTTACACAAATGTTCATGGATGTTTATCAAAAGGGTCTACGAGAGCTAACTGCCGAGCGAAGGCATGACTCCACGTACTCGTGGAAATCCTATCTGAACCTGATTTCGCGTTCGCACCGGGGTCTCAGACACTGGGATAGAAGACCACAATCAACTGTCCATAATACAGGGGCCTCAATAATTACCTATCTATTTTGGGGGTTCGTTATTATAATTATAGTATAATGGGCCCCAAACCTTCTTCTAATTATTATGGCCATTATATTAGATGGGGGGCTACAAAGGACAACGATTGCTAATGATATGAGGTCGGTCTACCGGAGACTTGGGTGGTTTCTCGGCGCTGCTGGCATCTGTAATCTGGGGCCTACACTGGGAGAGCTATGGAATACCGTTAATGTAGGGGCCTTAGGTTTTGTAGAATAGGATTTTGGGGTATATTATGCTATACTGCTTCTACTTATAATAAGGAACCCCCACTATAGTATAGGTAATTATTTAGGCCCCGATATTACTTGTCCAACCCCTGGCTCAGGTTAACCAGCAGGAAGCAGGCTTGAGGATTTAGGATTTAGGGTGAACATGCAGAGCTTCAAGGCTCGAAAGGGATTTCGTTGATGCAAACGATGTTTCATCTGGAGAATGCTCCCCCAGTTGTGACACGATGCAAATCCGTATTGCTAGCCAGCCGTCCCGGAAAGAACAACAGAAAGGGATGACCCGACAAGAGAATGACACGCTTTAAGTGTCCAGGCTGTACAGCTTAAGATGTGGAGTTTAGGGTTTGCGGTTCAGGCTTCACGGCTTAGGATTGCTGCAAAGTCCGAGCTGCAGCCCAACGGCAATCAGCTCATGCGCATGTTGAGTTGCTGAAGAAGTGAGGAGAAGGCGTCGTTGATAGCCGTACTGCTGTATCCTGCCAGCGATTGGCAACTGCAAGCCGAAAGGGAGGGTTTCGTAAGGGTTTAGGGTTTAGGGGTAGGAGTTCACATTCTGGGGCACAAGTATCCATGATAAGTTCCAAGTTGCGAGCACTTACCTATGTTCTGAAGGAGCTCTGTATGCACTCACAACAATCCTGAAATAACCCCACTTCATATCTGGCGGGCATCCTGAAACCATAAGAAATCATCAACAGATGACAGCATCTGCAAAAACTAGAGACGTGAACTGCAATAACTACCGTGAAGAAACCCTACACCACAAACCCTAAACTCAATAAATGGGTTTCAACCCCGAACCCTAAGCCTTGAATCTAAACCCTAGTTTAGTTAAAAACCAAGAACCGCAAAACTGCCGAAATCCCTTTGAATCATCGGTTCTGAATAGGGGTGGTTGCCAAAATGATGGTCCCTTTTTGGGTACCCTAAATATTAGGTGCTGCGTTATCGTCAAGACCCCAAAAGGGACCCTAATTGAGGGAACCACCAATATGGATCCGATTTAATTTGGTGTATCGAACGATGGGTTCCCAATAGGGCGCACTTTGGGTACTGCCCCCAAACATTAACGGTCTGCAAGAGGGCTAATTACAATTAAGAGCCTGAAACATCCATTTTGCAAATACTATTCAACTGTCACTGAGTGGGTGCGGTATCCGACTTAAACTACTCTGATTGTGAAGGCCCGTAATCTTACCGCCGGGTCGCGGTGACGACGAGGTGACAAGTGGCCGCTCTTCAAATCGCACTCGTAGAAACGGCCCTTGTCGTCGAAAACCAGCGCATGGCCTTTTGGGAGTTTAGGGCTTCTACGGGGCTTAGTGTAAAGGGTACTACACCTCATACTGCCAATACGGCTCCAGGGCTTTAGGATGGCAGCTTCCATACCATACGGTTGATATAAATCCTGCACTCCCCATAATAAGATATATGTCAAAATTCCCATAGTTAAGGGTCCGTAAGGTAATGCAGGATTTGTGTCATCAACCCTAAATCCTAAACCCTAAACCCTAAACCCTACACCCTAAACCCTAAACACTAAACCCCGTATCACCAACAGTAGTACGGATTCTTCAGGGCCCCTGTAGCCAGAAGGCTTCTGCAGAGTTCAGGTTCTGGGCTTTTGCATCCGGGGCTTAGGGTTTAGGGCTTTAGGGTGTAGGGTTTGGGGTTTATGGGTTTAGGGTTTAGGAGTTCAGGGGGGTAAGGCCTAGGGTCTTAGTGTCTAGGGTTTTAGGGTTTAGGGTTTAAGGCTTCGGGCGTAAGGTTTAGGGCTTTAGGGTTTTAGGGGATCTGGGGTTTACAGTACTGCGGGTTTGCCTGAGGTTTTCTGCCTGGTTCCCCTGCGAGCCGATGTTGAAGGCTTGTATACTATTTGGGTACATGGACCCTTCTACCCTCAAAACCCCTAAATCCTTATGGTACCCTTACAAGAACCCTTGAAGGTACCCTTAAAGGCATTCCCTGGCAACTGCGGCGATGCGAGTGGCAAAAAGCGGCACGCTTGCCAGCGTCTCTGAGCTTTAAGTGGAATGGAGTACGCTTAGAAATAGTAATGATACTAAAAATGGTAGTAATAATAGCAATCAAGAAAACAACAATTTCCGAAAGCGTGCCATGACTGCTCTCGGGTGTTTCCGTCAGTCTCGCCCAAGCCCTAACCCTAAACTAAATCATGGCTCACAGCCTAATGTAGGAGCCTTAGTCATTAGAATAGGGTTTTGGGGTATGGTTTTCTATAGTTATAATAACGAGCCCCCCCCCAAAAAAAAAACACTGAAG